AAATGTTGTCTGAAATGAAATGGCAACTTAATCATAGTTGGACATCTTAAGAAAGCCCCACCAGCGCAAGGTTGACTCAGCCTTCCGTTTTTACGAGGTTGGTAAAATGGGGACCCAGATTGCTGGGCACAATATGCTGACTCTGTAAACCACTTAGTGTTGTAAAGCACTATATGTCTATTGCGATTTATGATCAACATTTCAGACAACATTTCCTACACATTTCCTATTTGCAAGTGTGAATTCTTGCTCTAAGGTCAAGGCAACGTAGTAGTTGTGTTGAAGGACCCTGGTTCAATGTTCAGTTTCTTCCAAAGTCCTTCAACCCAACAACTACGTTGCCTTGACCTTAGAGCAAGAATGCCTGGAAAATCCCTGTTTGAGCCCCAGAGCAGCTCCTTCCAATGAGCTCAGTGACTCAATGTGGGTAAGATTCCCACTATGACCTCTACTCAAATGTGTAGCAATTTACATATCCACATCCTAGGGTCAGCCAAAATTTATTCCTAAAATTTCATCTCAATACCTTATTTATTATTGGAACATAAAATGCATCATATGTAATACATAATTCAAGATTATTTTTATTGTTTTAGCAAGCTTTTTGACTCCACAGAATTCAAAGTATAGGGGAATATAAGCTATAATCCATAGTATGAATGAATCAATCAATTAAGGTTTCAGGTGGATTCTAATAATGGCTGCAAATGCTTACAGATTAGATTCTGTGTCTGGATATAGTGATGGATTACATTGGAGGAGGGCCCTACATTGAAACTAAGTCATAATTAGGCAGAGGTAATTTTCTGGCTAGGACCATAGTATTCTCAAGAGCAGCAACATAGTCTGAGAATTCTGATAAAATGATAATGTTGATGGAATTGCATGTGACAAACTTGAATGGGTAGGTTGAGTGACAGGACTGGCTCAAAATTCACCTAGTGAAGGACTAGAAGAACAGTTGGTCTTACTTGAACTGTCTTTCTCACAGTCTTGTGGGAGGCTCAGGAATGGGTATTATCACATCCAATCTGCCCAGAGACTGAGTTAGAACTGAAGCCATGCCACTCTGCTCTCTCTGCCTGGATCCAGTTTCCAGTAGCTCCATTGAGATACCTGGAAGGTAAGGGTAGAAGAAACTCCTCCTCCCCCTCCCAGTCCACTGGCTGACCTAGGCTAACAAGGACCTCTACTGCCTGGCTCAGGTCAACAAGTACTAAAATCTGCATTTTACTTGCATTTTAGGGTGGGCCTGAACCCTCCCACAACACTCCAAGAAAGACAGTTCAGGTAAGACCAACTGTACTTCTCCGGAGTAGCTTGTGGGAAGGTTCAGGAATGGGACATACCAAAGCTGGTGTCCAAGGATGGGAATCTACGGATCCTGAGCTGCCGAGGTGTCTAACACCCATTGCAACACCCTTCTGCCAAAGGAAGCCTCAGCTGACGCATAAGTGTCCAGCAGATAATGCTTTATGAAGGGCAATGGGGATGCCCATGTAGCCACCCTACAGATGTCCTCAATTGAGACTTGAGTCGACCAAGGTGGCCGCACTCCTTGTGGAATGTGCTGTTATGCCAGCTGGCACTTGGAGATTCTGAGCTTCATAAGCCCTGGCTATGACTGTCCTTATCCACCTACCAATCGTAGAGGGAGAAACTGTT